TATCTGGTCTATTATGTCATTTAAAACTTGTGTTTCCTTATTTATTTCCTGTCTGGATGATCTGTCCATTGGTGTAAGTGGGGTGTTAAAGTCCCCCACTATTACTGTGTTACTGTTGACTTCCTCTTTTATGGCTGTTAGCATTTGCCTTATGTATTGAGGTGCTCCTATGTTGGGAGGATATTTAAATCATATTTATTTTATTTAAATCATAAATATTTATAATTGTTATATCTTCTTCTTGGATTGATCCCTTGGTCATTATGTAGTGTCCTTCATTATCTCTTGTAACAGTCTTTATTTTAAAGTCTATTTTATCTGATATGAGTATTGCTACTCCAGCTTTCTTTTGATTTCCATTTGCATGGAATATCCTTTTCCATCCCCTCACTTTCAGTCTGTATGTGTCCCTAGATCTGAAGTGGGTCTCTTGTAGACAGCACATATATGGATCTTGTTTTAGTATCCATTCAGTCAGTCTGAGTCTTTTGGTTGGGGCGTTTAATCCATTTACATTCAAGGTAATTATCAATACGTATTTTCCTACTGCAGTTTTCTTAATTGTCTTGGGTTTGTTTTTGTGGGTCTTTTTCTTCTCTCGTGCTTCACACTTAGAGAAGTTCCTTTAACATTTGTTGTAAAGCTGGTTTGGTGGTGTTGAATCCTCTTAGCTTTTGCTTGTCTGAAAAGCTTTTGACTTCTCCATCGAATCTGAATGAGATCCTTGCTGGGTAGAGTGATCTTTGTTGTAGATTTTTCCCTTTCATCACTTTAAATATGTCCTGCCACTTCCTTCTGGCCTGCAGACTTTCTGATGAAAAATCAGCTGATAACCTTATGGGGATTCCGCTGTATGTTATTTTTTTGTTTTCCCTTGCTGCTTTAAAATTTTTTCTTTTTATTTAATTTTTGTTAGTTTGATTAATATGTGTGTTGGTGTGTTTCTCCTAGGGTTTATCCTGTATGGGACTCTCTGTGTTTTCTGAACTTGGGTGGCTATGTCCTTTCCCATGTTAGGGAAGTTTCTGATTATAATCTCTTCAAATATTTTCTCAGACCCTTTCTTTTTGTTTTCTTCTGAGACTTTTTTTTTTTTTTGCGGTACGTGGGCCTCTCACTGCTGCAGCCTCCCCCGCCGCGGAGCACAGGCCCCGGATGTGCAGGCCCAGTGGCCATGGCCCATGGGCCCAGCCGCTCCGCGGCACGCGGGATCCCCCCGGACTGGGGCACGAACCCACGTCCCCCACATCGGCAGGCGGACCCCCAACCACTACGCCACCAGGGAAGCCCCTTCTGAGACCTTTATAATTCGAATGTTGGTGTATTTCATGTTGTCCTAGAGGTCTCTGAGACTGTTTTCAATTCTCTTCATTCTTTTTCCTTTATTATGCTCCTTGGTAGTTATTTCCACCATTCTATCTTCAAGCTCACGTATTTGTTCCTCTGCCTCAGTTTTTGTGTTATTGATTCCTTCTATTGTATTTTTAATTTCAGTTACTGTGTTGTTCATCTTTGTTTATTCTTTAGTTCTTCTGGGTCTTTGTTAAACATTTCTTGTATTTTCTCGATCCATGCCTGAATTCTATTTCCAAGATTCTGAATCATCTTTACTATCATTACTCTGAATTCTTTTTCAGGTAGGTTGCCTATTTCCTCTTCATTTAGTTGGTCTTGTCGGTTTTTATCTTGCTCCTTCATCTGTAAGATATTTTTTTATTGTCTCATTTTTTTTTTTTTTTTGGATGGGTGGGACTGTGTTCCCGTCTTATTGGTGGTTTGGCCTGAGGCTTCCAGCCCTGGAGTTTGTAGGCTGTTGGGTCTTGAGCTGGGTCTTGGTGCTGAGATGAGGACCTCTGGGAGACCTCACTCTGATTAATATTCCCTGGGGTCTGAGGCTGTCTGTTCATCCAGCGATTTGGACTCAGTGCTTCCACCATAGGAGCTGACCCCTGACCCCTGGCCTGGGAACCAAGATCCTGCAAGCTGCACAGGGTGGCAAAAAAATAAAAAAGGGCAGAAAGTAACAAAGAGTAAACAATAATAAAAGATTAGAAAACTAACAGATATGTTAGAAAAAATAAAATATAAATGAAACAACAACCAGAAGGTAAAACAGAATCACAGTAGCAAAAATATAGGGAAAAAAAGGCCGGAAAAGGCCTTGGCTATGTGGGGTGGGGCTTAGGCAATGGCATCATTTAGGTGGGGGCGGGGCCTTATGCTTAAGCCCTTGGGGTGGGGGGTGGGAATTAGGCTCAGTGCCGTTGGAGGGGCCCTGATGTGCCTCTGGCCTCAGAGTAGGGATGATCAGGCCTGAGACCTTAGCAGGCTCCCCGTTCACCTTTACTCTTCTTCCCCTACCCCCTCTCTCCCACACCCTTAGGACCCACATGGCAGGAGGGGTCCCCGGATGGTGGAGGACTCAGGGCCCGAGTGGGCAGGAGAAATGCTATCCATGTTCCCCCGAGTCCTCTGAAACTCCAAGGGTCCCTCCAGGCACAGAAACCCCTCCCCTCCCCCAGCCACCCCTCAGGGGCACTGGTTCCCTCCAACCTCCACTTCTCTTTCCCCCTCGCTCTCCCCCATGTCCTCCCCAGTCACTTGGGGGTTCCTTCTATCCCCTTGGGTGTCAAGGTCCCCCACCAGCCTCTGGTAGGTGCCCTAGTTGTGGGGAGACACGATCTCCACAACCTCCTAGTCCGCCATCTTGACTCTGCTCCCTCCTGTATTTTTAAATTTTAATAAATGTCATTGTGTGATGAATCACATTCTGTTTCTTTTCTTACCTAACACAATGCTTTTGAGCTCTACCTCGGTGTTGGTGTTCGTGAATCCAAACCTGTCTTTATTGATAGGGAAGCAGATCAGGGAGGGGAAGTGTCTGTTTCTATGTAAAATGAACTAGAACTTAAGTGAATTGAGACCAATCCAGGTCCATTTACCAGTTTGTCTCTTAAAATTGTCCAGATCTTCAAATCTAAGACAACTATCACCACCTTAGTTTGTTTGGGTTTCTATGACAAATGCCACAGATTGCGTTGCTTATAAACAACAGAAATTTATTTCTCAAAGTTCTGGAGGCTGGGAAGTCCGAGATCAAGGCTGCAGCATGGTTGTGTTCTGGGAAAGGCTTTCTTTCTGGTTCAGAGCGGACACCTTCTCTCTGTGCCATCACATGGTGGAAGGGGCTAGGGAGCTCTCTGGAACCTCTTTTCTAGGGACACTAATCCCTTTCATCAGGAATCCATGCTCCTGACCTAAGTACCTCCCCCAACACTGCCGACTAATACCATTACCCTTGGGGGTTGGGGTTTCAACATGTGAATGGAGGGAACACAAACATCCAGACCACAATACACAATCATACTTTTTCTTACCTATGAAGACTGATTAAATAGCTTTGGGAAATTAAATTGTTTTGGAGAACATGCCAATTAGAAAAGAGTTACATTGTATGAAAGTCAGTATAGATTTCAAACTAATCACTATCAATACTAATAAGGTACTTTGAAAGTGGAAAATCATAATGGAGAATGGACTTGCATTTTTACTTATTTATTTAAAATTTATTTTTAAAAATATTTATTTATTTTGGTCTGTGTTGGGTCTTTGTTGCTGCACACGGGCTTTTTCTAGTTGCAGCGCGCGGACTTCTCATTGTGGTGGCTTCTCCTGCTGCGGAGCACAGGCTCTAGGCGTGCGGGCTTCAGTAGTTGTAGCACACGGGCTCAGTAGTTATGGCTCTTGGGATCTAGAGTGCAGGCTCAGTAGTTGTGGCGCACAGGCTTAGTTGCTCCGTGGCATGTGGGATCTTCCTGGAACAGGGCTCAAACCCATGTCCCCTGCATTGGCAGAGAGATTCTTAACCACTATGTCACCAGGGAAGTCTCTAAAATTTATTTTGTATTGAAGTATGGTTGAATCACAATGTTGTGTTCATTACTGCTGTACAGCAAAGTGACTCAGTTATACATCCTTTTTCATATTCTTTTCCATTATGGTTTATCACAGGATATTGAAGGATTTGGATTTTTTAATTCATTCTTCAGTGGAAGTGTTTAATATAAAAGTTTCCAGAAAAGGTTTAAGTTAACCCTATATTCACCATATTATTACAACCACTAGAACTGTGCATACAGGGCCAATGATGATGATGATGATGATAAAAGGCATCTTCAAGTCATGAGTTAATACTATTTTACCCAACATAGATAGAGGTAATGAGGTCATTACCTTACTAGAGCCAACAGAGGGGATGAGGTCTCTCAGTAATCGTGCAAAGGAAAATGTCCAGAAGAAAATTCATTAAAAAAAAATTTTTTTTTGGCTGTGCCACCTGGAATCTTAGTTCCCCAATCAGGGATTGAACCTGTGCCTCCTGCAGTGGAAGCACAGAGTCTTAACCACTGGACCACCAGGGAAGTCCACAGAAGAAAATTCTTGAGAAAACCCATAGTGAGTGGAAAGCAGAAGGGTAGTTTATTTCACACCTACTATGAACCTACTCTGCATTTCTTTACCCCACCTCCATCCTCCTTTCACTTTACTCCAGAAGGAATATGTAGAATTAACCTACTAACGGCAAGAATACTATTGAACTATTCCATACAGGGCTGGGAATTCTTGGGCTTCTGAAAGCTTGGCTTGGAGAAACTTAGCACAGTGTCTGGCAAAATGCAAACAGTCTATAAATATTGGTCAAAGGAATGAATATTTGTTGAATGAAAGTTTATGTCTCTGGACACATTCTGACTTGCTTCTTTGGGTTACAGGTCTCCTGTTTGGCTGGCCTGGTAGGCTGGACCTTAGGCTTCTTTCAAAGAAGAATGGATGTCTCTTTGCTAAGAGGAACCAGGGTGGGGCCCAGGGGAGCAGAGGCTACTTTGGCCGATTTACTGAGGTCAAAGGCCTCTTCTCCAATCAATGTGGTCTGGCATAATAAACCAGGTATGGGTTTCCTAATTGGGGCTGGTTCATAGTCTTTTTTTTTGGTTTTCTAGAAGATTTTGTGATTCAGGCAAAGGCTGACTGTTACTTCACTAATGGGACAGAAAATGTGCAGTTTGTGGTCAGATTCATCTTTAACCTGGAGGAGTATGCACGTTTTGACAGCAACTTGGGGATGTTTGTGGCCTTGACGGAGCTGGGCCAGCCTGACGCTGAGCTGTGGAACAATCGGCCCGATATACTGGCAAGGAGTAGAGCCTCTGTGGATGCGCTCTGCAGACACAACTACAAGCTGGGTGCACCCTTCACTGTGGGGAGAAAAGGTGAGGTGTAAGGTGGGGACTGCAGGGATTCAGGAATCTCCCCCGTGTGAGCCTGGCTGTGGCTCTTCTTCCTTGTACTGGGCAGTTTCCTGCTTCAGGATAGATGGGTCAGGAGCAGGGGAGTCTGTATACATTCTGTCCTCAATTGTGACTCACTCACTATCCTCAGGGGTCAGTTCATGGTGGTCTTGGGTCCCAGACCCCCAGTTCTCAGGGACTTTAAGGGCTAGTGTCTTCCCAAATACAAGGGGCAATTGTGGGCATGTGATAAAGCCTAAATCCTCCTTGCGACACTAACATATCCAGTGTTTGAGTCTTTGGGGGTGAGATTTTCCCACATTTCCAGTTTCTACTTGGGTGATTTGGGAAAGAAATACGGGGCTGAGATAACCTTTAATGAAACTCCTGTGTTGGCTTTGTGGATTTCCTTCACCATGTCTCATGTCTTCTCTCCCCTGCTAGTGCAACCAGAGGTGACAGTGTATCCAGAGAGGATCCCAGCCTTGCAGCACCACAATCTGCTGCTTTGCTCTGTGACAGGTTTCTATCCAGGGGACATCAAGATCACGTGGTTCCGGAATGGGCAGGAACAGAGAGAGGGGGTCATGTCCACTGGCCTCATTAGGAATGGAGACTGGACCTTTCAGACAATGGTGATGCTGGCAATGACTCCTGAACTTGGAGAGGTCTACACCTGCCTTGTTGATCATCCCAGCCTGCTGAGCCCTGTTTCTGTGGAGTGGAGTGAGAATCAGCTTATACTTTCTGGACAAAACTCGGCTCAATCTGACTCAAGACCTGTGTTACCTCTGTGTTCATCTTGGCTTCAACACTAGTTCTTCTTCCCTCTGATCTGAGGGAGTCATAGAAATTGGGGTCTTTGGGTTGGGGTGGGAAAAAACATGGCTATCCTTGGATCTTCCAAGAAATATGGAGGTGTAATCACCTTGTCACTTACTTCCAACTTTGGGAACTACTGTCCTCTAATGCTTTGGCCTTGGCATTTAGGGGGGCATTATAAGAATCATTAACAGAAACTCCATGAGTACAAACCTTGGCTTCCAAGATGTAGTCCTTCCCTAGATAGCATTGGATTGGTGTCCAGCACAGGTTCTGGGATTTCACGAAGGTACACCAAATACTGGGAGCTTTTGGCTCACTTTAATACATGTTTTCCATAGGAGCTCAGTCTGAATATCCTTGGAGAAAGATGCTGAGTGGAATTGCAGCCTTCCTGGTTGGGCTAGTCTTCCTTCTGGTGGGGATCGTCATCCACACCAGGGCTCGGAAAGGTAATGAGCTCTGAGGAGTACCCCTGCCACCTGCCCCCTGGCTTTCCCCGCTTCCCACTCTTCCTAACGTCTAAGATGCAAGGCAGGGAGGGCTGATCATACCTCTCAGGGATCACTGGGATAAGATGTAAGTGACTCTGGCTGGGTGCGCTGTCTGCTGAGTCCCTGTGCTGGAGGGTGGGGGACTCACGGGACTTTATCACTGTCCCTGCAGGTCCCAAGAGCAGTTCTTCGTCCACAGCCACATTAAGGTCCTAATAGAAGCTTCTCCCCCTGGAGCCTGAAGAGGGATTGAGTGGCCCTGGATTAAGTGAAGGACATTCATGAGGTCAATGTTCTGGATGACTCGTTTCCATGAGAGCTTGGCGGAGTCCTGAACTGACTCTAGAGTCTTGTGTTCTGAGATCACGCATCTCTCATCTTTGTGCCCTTCTTCCTCCTCCTTGTCTATAATAGTCCCCATTTCCAAGGACCAGAAATTCCCCTAAGACCTAGCTCCTTCCAATCCCAAACTTTTTACTTTTCTGTGGTCCAGCCCTAACCCTCTAAGTCGTGATCTCCATCTTTCTCTCTTCCAAAGGCAGCCCCACAGTCTTCAGAAGACAAACGTTCAGATAGTCACTGCTCCCTTTTCATTGTTTTTTAAAAGACTTTTTCCTTTAAAATAAAACTGAGATAGAGATTACCACATAAAATGTATAATTCAATACATGACTTAAGGCAAAACCCCTGTAATCAATGCTCAGTTCAAGAAATAGAACTTTTCCTGCTGCTGCATAAGTCTCCCTGCTGCAGGCCAATCAAAGCCCACTCCCTCCTCTCAAAAGTAGTCATATCCTTGCAAACTATTTGGGCCTTGAATTTCCTTTGAGGGATGATTTTATTACACTTAACAATTTTTAAAAAATCATCTGTAGGACTATACAGATTGTCTAGTTTCGGGGTCAGCTTTGGTAAATTTTGTGGGGTAGATTGATTAGGGTACAAAGTATTTGTCATTCATCTCATGGAGATGTAGCTGGCCTTGGACTTAGACCATTCTGAGAGTACGTCTAAAGAAGGCTTACAGCTTTTACTTTCCTATTGGAAGTCCTGAGCCATCAGGAAAGAAGTTTGCCTTCATTGCTGATGGGACCACATAGGCCACGTTAGAGGCACTGGAATTGCTGAGGGAGAGAGTATCTCTGTGTCCCAGTTGAGCCTCCAGAGGACCCCAGCCCCAGCTACCATCTGCCTGCAACCATATGAGAGACCCTCTGTGAATACCACCTTCTAAGCTCAGTCAACTCCCAGAACTGTGAAAAATCATTAAATGGCTGTAGTTTTAAGCCACTAAGTTTGGGTGTAATTTGTTATACAGAAATAGATCATGAAATATTGTTTTTCAAAGAATTTTATCAAAACGACAAATCTACCGGCACAAAATTCTTTATATCCTGTTAGTATCTTTTAATGTTTGTAGAATCTGTAGCAATTGCATCTTTTTGTTACAGACGTTAATAATTTGTAATTTGGATTTTTCTTCCTTATCAGTCTTGTAGGTGGTTTATCAAAAAAAAAAAAAAAAGAAGAAAAAAAGAAAACTCTAGCTTTGTGATTTTCTTTATTATACATCTATTGTCCATTCTATTTCCTCTCTTATCTTCATTATTTCCTTTCTTCTACTTTTTTTTGGCATGTGTTTCTCCAGTTTACACAGCACCATTTGTTGAAGACCCTATCCTTTCCCCATTGGATATTCTTGGCTCCCTTGTCAAATATTAGTTGAATATATATGGAAGGGTTTAATTCTGGGCTCTCTTTTCTGTTCCACTGGTCTATGTGTCCATTTTAATGTCAGTACTATACTGTTTTTATTACTATAGTTTAAAACCAGGAAGTACGATACCTCTGGCTTTGTTCTTCCTTCTCAGGGTTGCTTTGGGTATTCTGGGTCTTTTGTAGTTTATGATTTTTTTGCTAGACAGGTTGCTAGTCCTACATCATTCACTTAAAACTTGGTATATTAGTCCTTTGCACGGCTATACCACAATTCATCCATTCTCTCTCTTAAAATTAAGACTGTTTCTTTTCTCTTCAGTTACTTTTTTAATATGTCATCTTGGCACATGTATGAGAATTTATTTAGAATGTTTTTATCTAGGATGGAAGTCTGGGATTATCCAACTACCCAAAGGGATATACACCAATATTTAACATATCTTATAATTTTTTGATGTACAGAATTTTCATAATCAAGACAAAGTTGTCAGTTTTTCTTTTTGAATTTGGAAATAATTTTGTTATTCCTAACCTGGTGCAACAAACATTCAATTACAAGTCTCTTTAAGCTCATGTAGGATTGTTTCTTTTAGATAGATATTGTCGTAGTCCATTCAGGATACTACAACCAAATACCATAAACTGAGTAGCTTATAAACAGCAGAAATTTATATTTCACAGTTCTGGAGGTGGGAAGTCTGAGATCAGGATACCAGCAAGGTCGAGTTCTGGTGAAAACCCTCTTCTAGGTTTGCAGACTGTCAGTATCTCACTGTGGGCTCACATGGTGGAAGGGAAGACCCTGGTCTTTTTGGCCCTTTATAAGGGCACTAATCCCATTCATAAGGGATCCACCTTCAGGACTTAATCACCCCCCAAAGCTCTACATCTTAATACCATCACATTAGGGACTAGGTTTCAGCAGATACATTTTGTAGAGGCACAGAACATTGCAGATATATGGATGTGGATTTTATTGTTGTGTCAATCATGTAACATTTGCACTTTAATATTTTAATAGATACCACCAAGCTCCCACTCATTCATGATGCTACTAATAATATACGAGAGAATCTATTCCCACAGACTCTTGTAAATCCTTTATTTAAAAAACCCAGACTATTATATTTGCCAGTTTGGGGGAGAAATATTTCATCACATTGCTATTTGAATTTGTTTCTGATTATTGGTGTGTTTGAGTAAATATTTTATGTTTATTGGCTTTTGGTGTATTTGATTCTGTAAATAGTCTGTATCTTTGCCCACTTTTCTGTTGTTTATTTTTGTTCATTTATTTGTTGATTTGTTGGCAATTTTACATAATAAGAAAGTTAGCCCATTGTCAGCCTTGTGTGTTGCAAAGTTTTCTGAGCTTTACATATTTCTTTAAAATTTATTTAATCCATGCAAATAAATTAAAAATTTTTATTCAAATACATATTTTTCTTTATGTCTTCTACACTTTCTGTCTTGCTTAGGAAGACTCTTTCTTTTAAGAAAGATTATTTTAACAGGCTTCTTGAGGTATAATTTACTTACCACAAATTCACTCTTTGTATATGTAAAATTTAATGCTTTCAGTGAATTATAGTTTTTTTCTTTTATTTTTTATTGAGGTAACATTAGTTTATAACACTATATAAGTTTTATGTTACAACCTTATATTTCTATTTTTGTACACACTAGAGCATGCTCACTGCCAGATTTAGTTTCCATTCATCTTCATAGAGTTTATCCCCTTTACCCATTTCACCCTCCTCCCACTTCTGGGTATTTATCCAAAGACTATGAAAACTCTAACTCGAAAAGATATATGCGTCCCCATGTTTATCACAGCATTATTTGCAATAGCCAAGATATGGAAACAACCTAAGTGCCCACCAACAGAAGAACGGATAAAAGAAAGATGTGGTATATATATATATACACATACATATATACATATGTATACACACACACACACACATACAATGGAATACTATCAGCATAAAAAAAGATGAAGTCTTGCCATTCGCAACCACATGGATGGACCTTGAGTGTATGACCCTAAGTAAAATAAATCAGATAGAGAAATCTGTATGATTTTACTGATACGTGGACTGCAAAAACAAGTAAATAAAAACAAAATAAACAAGACATATCAAACAAAAATAAATGCTTAGGTACAGAGAACAGAGTAGCGGTTACAGTGGTGTCTTTTGATTCGTTAATTCAATCTATTTACATTTAGGGTGAATATTGATAGATGAGGACATGGTACTGCCGTTCTATCTTTTGTTTTCTGGTTGTTTTATGTCTCTATTGCTTCTTTTTTCCTTGTGTTTCTGTCTGCCATTTTAGTTTGGTGGTGTTAAAGGATGTTTTTCTCAGTTTCCTCTTTTTTAATGTTTCATGTCTCTGCTCTAGGTTTATGTTTTGTTGTTACCATGAGATTTGTATAAAACATCTCATATATAAAATAGTCTTTTTTTCTGCTGATAGCATCTTATCTTCATTTACCTATATGACTTCTGTATTTTTCCTCTTCCCTTTTTATGTTTTTGTTGTCTCAAATTATCCCTTATGTTGTGTTTGTTCTCAAATTGAAGTAGCTATAGTTATTTTTATGCCTCGCCCCCCTTTTACCTTTATGCTACAATAAATGTTTGAAAACCTATTCTGATACAGAGCTGCAATTTTCTGATTCTGTCTGCGTATCACCTTACTCAAAGTTGTGTGTACTTTTTACCTTTTTGAAAGCAGCTCTTTTGCCCCTTTCCTATTTGCCCATTTCTATTCCTCTCTAACCTTAAAAGAACCTAATTATAGGAATGAGATCACTAGGCAATTGAAACTAACTCCCGACTTATGCTCTCCTGAATGCACACCATGCCTTGTCTAACCTGTTGATTCTTTTCCTAGATAAAAAGCAGTTAAAAAATGACTAGCTCTCTACCCCCAGCAGCTCAACCCCCCCCCCCCCCCCAAGCAATCCTTCAGGAGATCACGCAGGCAAGATAACATCTGAAGAGAGTCGGCCAGTCTGCACTCAATGGAGAATGATGCAGAACCCAGCCTCCTGCCTTGGTGATTCACTGAGATTCTTTCCTTCCATTTTTCCCTTTAAAAACTGTCATGGCTGAGCAGAATCTTTGGAGTTGGTTTGGGAAACAAGTCCACCTTCTCCCCAGATTTCTGGCTTTTCTGATTAAAGCACGTTTCCTTCCTACTGACACTTGCCTCTCAAATTATTGGCTTATGAATGGCGAACAACTGAACCTGGGTTCAGTTACATTTTTATTTCTGGTAGAAGAGCTCCTTCTTACATCTTTTGTAAGGAAGGTATATGTTGATGAGCTCTCTCAGCTTTCGTTTGTCTGAGAAAGTCTTTATTTCTCCTTCATCTCTGAATGACAACCTTGTTGGATAGAGTATTCTTGGCTAACAGTTATCTTTCAGTATTTTGAGAATGTCATTCCACTCCCTCTTGACCTGTAGAATTTCTGCTAAGAACTCTGCTGATAAACTAATGGGGGTTCCATTGCAGGTTACTATCCTTTTTTCCCTGGATGCCTTTAAAAAATTCTCTGTCATTGACTTTTTTTTTTTTTTTTCTTTTTTTGGCTGTGCTGTGCAACATGTGGAATCTTAGTTCCCTGACCAGGGATTGAACCCGAGCCCCCTGCAGTGGAAGCACGAAGTCCTAACCACTGGACCACCAGGGAAGTCCCTGTCATTGACTTTTGACAATTTTAATATAATGTGTCTTGGAGATGGTCTTTTTGCATTGAGTTAATGAGGGGCTCTATTTGCTTCATTGACTTGTAGATTCAGTTCCTTCCCCTGGTTGGTAAGTTCTCAGCCATTCTTTCTTTTTTATTATATTTTAAAAGAAATTATTTATTTTATTTATTCTTTTTTTTTTGGCTGCGTTGGGTCTTCGTTGCTGCGTGCGGGCTTTCTCTAGTTGAGGCGAGTGGGGGCTACTCTTCCTTGTGGTGAGCGGGCTTCTCATTGCGGTGGCTTCTCCTGTTGTGGAGCATGGGCTGTAGGCACAGGGGCTTCAGTAGTAACTCGTGGGCTCTAGAGCGCAGGCTCAGTAGTTGTGGCTCACGGGCTTAGTTACTCCGCGGCATGTGGGATCTTCCCGGACCAGGGCTCGAACCTGTGTCCCCTGCATTGGCAGGTGGATTCTTAACCACTGCGCCCCCAGGGAAGCCCCTCAGCCATTATTTCTTTAAATAAACTTCTCTCATCCCTTCTTGCTCTCTTCTTCTGAGATACCTATCACCCTAATGTTGCCCTTCCTGAAAGAGTCAAATGGCTCTCACAGAATTTCCGCATTCTAAAAAGATTTCCGTGCTTGCTTTGACAGTACATATACTAAAATTGGAACCATAAAGAGAGAGATTAGCATGGCCCCTGCGCAAGGATGACACGCAAATTCGTGAAGCATTCCATATTTTTATAGATAGCTAGTGGGAAGCAGCCACATAGCAACAGGGAGATCAGCTTGATGCTTTGTGACCACCTAGAGGGGTGGAATAGGGAGGGTGGGAGGGAGACGCAAGAGGGAGGAGATATGGGGACATATGTATATGTATAGCTGATTCACTTTGTTATAAAGCAGAAACTAATACACCATTGTAAAGCAATTATACTCCAATCAAGATGTTAAAAAAATAAATAAAAAGATCTTTCTCTTTCCTCTTCTACTAGTATCATTTCTACATTTCTATCTTTGAGCTCACAAATTCTCTCTTCCATACGGTCTGCTCTATTTCCAGTGCTTTCTCAAGAATTCTTCATCTCGTTTATTAGTTCTTTAGCTCCAGAATTTCTATTTGGTTCTTTTTTTTTTTTTTTTTAGGGTTTCAATCTCTTTGGGAAAGTATTCCTTCTGTTCTGCCTTTGTGAGTTTCGTTGCTCGTTGAGTTTCTTCCTGACAGTTGTTTTGAATTCTCTGTCAGTTAGAGCACCATATCCCATGACCTTATGATTGTTTTCTGGAGAATTATTTACTTTTGTGGTACACTATTGCTGTGGTTCTTCATGGTGCTTGATAAGTTGTCCTCTGCCAGCACATTTGAAGTAGCGAGCACGCTTCTATTCTGATGAATCGTGGGTTTAGAAGTTAGAGGCTTTTCTTTTGTTTTCCAGTAGGTGGCACTAGAGCACACGGTTTTGGTTTCTCTTACCTGAGCTGCCTCTGGTTATATTTGAGTTCTTCTGTCAGAGGTGTTGCAAGGTGCTCTCACTGTCACTTCTTGTGCCTCTGGAGTCATTGGTGCTTTGCTGCTGCCCGTGTTGCTGGTGTTGCCACCTGAGGCTCTGAGATGGGGGCTCTTCTGCTGTGTCTGGGGTCCCCTGAGTTGCCATTGGCTGTTGTTTCAACCTCCAAGTACTTTCTCTTTCCCAGAGGTCAGGGAGTGGGTCTGATCACAGGAACCAGCCCCCACCCCTAAGTGGAGTCCAACTGTCAACTCATTAATATAACGAGACACCTTTGTGGCTCTCATCACTTTGGAAATTCCAAGCGTTTTAGGAGAACTGTGCCAGGAATGGGGAAAAAGACCAAATATAGATTTCATTTTATGAAACCCAATATCACACTCTGGGAAAAATTAAGTTGCCTCTTGTGTAATTAAAAATTTGTTAAGATGATAAGTCTCATGGAAAGGATTCTTATGACAATAAAGGTGGGGAACACAGGGAAATTTTTGGAGGTGATGGATATATTTAGCTATTGGACAGCTACATTGATCAGCTCTGGAGGTGCCCTACCTGGGGCCCATCTGCTATGTAAAATAAGTAAAAAACAAATCAAAGCCAAATTGATTGGGTTTTCTCTACTACTAGCAGCAGAAAGTGTCTTCATTGAAATAGTCATGCCATACATTTTAATTCAACCTTATAATTTCACACCAGGTTTCAAATAAAATGAGAGGAATCATTTCTTCATCTCAGATAACAAAGCAAGAGTAAAGCTGCAACCTTGGGATCAAATAAAACTTACCTCAACTGTATGTCTGTTGCAGACATGACTATCTTCTTATTAAATTCCTATAGCATGATGACTTATTTAGTGTAAATAATATACAATGCAACTAAGATGTTCAAAAAATAGACTGAATTTGCTTAAAAATAGAATAATAGTCTCTGACACTGGAGGAATTGTGCTCAAATGATTATTACTTTGAAGTAAACTTCTAAATCAATCACTTACATTTAGGATTTCCTTCTATTCAAATGGAACAAAATAGCAGAATCCTCTATTTTCCAACCAATTTCTTTCTCTGAGACTTGTCCAACAACTTTATATAATCTATATTACTTATAATTACTTCTAGTACAATAATTTACTTATATTCCCAAAGTCTATGGAATTTAGAATTATATAATGATTTAATAGTTGCACAATGTTTTATACAAGGGTAGAATATTTCTTTGATTTA